TCTCCCCACAATTTTCCTTCATCTCTGTCTGGGAACATCACCTGCCTGTGCAGCCTCACTCCTACCAACTAATACCTCACCTTGGTCCTGACCTCATCTTTCCTTCTCCTCTCCTGGACCAGAAAGATCAGAGTGTACCAAGGTTGGAACAGGTACACTATTAATTCCACAGCTGTGTATCAGAACTGACTGCGTGGTTACGACATTTAGTGCTCTCCCCCTCCCCCTAGCCAAGACTTTTGTAGACCAGGTTGGCCTTAGTTGAGGCTGTCCTTGAATTGAAAATCCTCTCTGCTTCACCTGGCAAATGCTGAGATTACAGCATTTATTCCTGCTTATATCTGGGTTTTTTTTTGTTTGTTTGTTTTTGGCAATGTAGCTGTGTCTGGCCTGGAACTCTCTACTAGGTTGGCCTCAAACACAGAGGTCCAACTGCACGTGCCACTGAACCCACCTCCTACGTCTGCTTTTGTTTTGACAGGATTTCTCTGTGTGACCTTGGCCTAGAACTAGCCCTGTAGGCCAGACTGGCCTTGAACTCAGAGCTCCGTTCGCCTCTGCCTTCAGTGTGCTGGGATTAAAGGTGCACCACCACCACCTGGCTTCTTGAACCTGCACTGGGGATTGAACCTGGGAACTGAAGCAAAATAGGTGAGGGCTCTACCACTGAGCCACACCCCAGCCCCTCACTGGGGGATCCTAGGCAGGGGCTCTACCACTGAGCCACACCCCCGCCCCTCACTGGGGGATTCGAGGCAGGGGCTCTAACTCTGAGTTATATACTAGCCAAATTTATAACTTTGAAACAGCTTCTCACTAAGTTGCTCAAGCCATCCTTAAACTTGCTATGTAGCCCAGACAAGTCATGAATTTTCTCCCAACCTCCTCCCTCAGCCTCCCATCCCAGGTAGTTGAGATTATAGATCAGGACCACTGCACTCTGATATAAACGTTTGAGGGATGAAAAATGAATAAATGAATGAACCCTCCTCAAGCAGTTGATACTCATATTCAGGTCTGCCCTTCTCTTTAGTCCCATTGAGGTCTCTTACTTTGAGCTTCTGGTCTCTCTTTCCGCCCATCCTCTCTTCTCCTGGCTTTTCTCTTTTATAGCTAGAGGGTTTTCCAGTGATGGACTCACACACAGGTAGTATCCTTACACGATATCCCTGGAGCTAAGTAGAGCTGTGAAGAGTGCTTTCCTCTTGTTGGAGACTGTGATCCAGAGAGGATGAGAGGTGTCCTGGGTCCCCCAGAATCAGAGCATGCACCCTACACAACCTCCCTCAATCTGTTTTGACTTTGCATCAGCCTTCTCTGCTTGGTATAGATTCACGGTTATCTCAAACATGTAGGTCATTAGTGTTAAGCGTTTACCCAGAGGCTGCATCTGATCCATTCAGGAGAGGCATCATAAGACAAAGGAGCAGTGTGGGTTGGGAATGCGCTGTGGCTACCTCATACCCCTCAAGGCTAGCTTGTGATAGCAACCAGAAGCCCTCTTGGCTTTATTGTCTTCTTTTTTCCTTGGCTTTCTGAGACAGGGTCTGGCAACCTAACTCAGCCTGGCTGGGAACTCATTGTATAGCTCAGGTTGGCCTCCAGCTCTCAGCAATACCCGAGCTGGCTTCCAGCTCTTGCCTCTCAACCCTCTTGCCTTATCCTCTCAGGGCTGGGATCACAAACATGCACCTCCATACCTGGTGTCATTTTGGATTTTCTCAAGCCAGAGTTTCCCACACAAAATGCTGTTCAGGAATTGGGAACAGGTTCTGTGTTTGTCAGACTGACCCCCTGTGGCTGATGACCTAAAGCCCCCAAATTTGTTTTGTGTGTGTTGTGTGCCAGACTTAGGCTAAGAAAGAATTTGGATTCCAGTAGAACACACACTCCCTGAAGGCAGACATGTTTGGGTCTGTTTAGTTCATTTTTTCTAACTCTGGCACTTAGAACAGTGCCTTACACATAGCAGGTGCTTAATAAACTCTTTAAAAAGTGAAGGATGTATTAAATTCAAGCATAAACCATGGATGTAGAAATAACATTTAAAAAAATTTTCCATTCTACAGTTGGCAAGATGGTGGCTCAGATGGGCAAAGTCTCAGGGATCTGAACTGGGGCCTCACAGGACTTCAAGCACCTGGCCCCGGGCTATTCTGGTGCTACTGGACTTGAAAAGCTGCTCCCTGTGTGGACATGGTGTCCAGGAGCTGTCTGTGGGTTCTGTGTATGTGTGGGTGGTGGTGACCCTGGTTCCGAGCACTGGACATTGAAACTGCAAGTTCAACCTTCAAACACTTCCTGTCTTTGGCCACGCTTACTCTCGGTCTCATTCACCCAGTTCAGAGAAAACAACACACCCCTCCCTCCTCTGAGACCATCCTTAAGGGTCCCCCCTCCCCTAAATGCCCAGAGCCCTGGGTGAGGGATGCGGGAAAAGGGAGGGGGGAGAGTTGAGGATGAGGGTGGAGGTGCCAGGGAGGAGGGAGAGGGAAGGGGATGGGTTAAGAAGGCGTGTGTGATGCCAAGCAAAAAAGACAACATTAGACACAGATGCTGAGATGACGTTTATCGCGGCAAAAAAAGGTGAAGTCGCCGAGGGAGAACGGGTGGGGGGAGGGGTGTGGTGGGAGCAGGGAGTGGGTGGGTGGGGTCCATGGAAGCTAATACGTGGTGCACTAGGTCACACAACGGACACTGGGGGTGGGTGAGTGGTTGGGAGAGGTGGGCATGGCCCAGGCATGGCGATGGGGGGAAGGGGAGGAGAGTGCGGTGACCCCAGCCAAGAGCTTCTGGAGGTGGCGGAGAGGAAGTGGGCGGCGGCGCTGGTCGAAGAAGATGGAAGGAAATCAGTTAAGAGGGTTGAATGGAGAAACTGGAGGCATGGCCACTTCACTTCCCACCCTACCTCCAAATTGGAATGCAGCAGAGTGGCCGCAGGCAGGGGCCAGCCGCGGACTCGGACCTTTCCTTTAATGGTTGGAAAGGGACCCTAGATGTTCATCTGACTACCTCTTTGCAAGATAACACGCCTAGCAAAGGTTAACTTCAGGTCCCATGAAGGATTCAGCAGTCAGTTCTCCAAAGACGGCCTCATCCTCAAGGGCATTCTTTTCGCGTCAGTCTCCAACAGTTGAAGTGGAGGAGAGATTCAATTCTCAACTCCACCGAGGTTCTTCAGGGAGCTTGGAGGATGAACCCATTTCACAGATCTCGAGAACAGAGCCTTACTTTCCTGCCTCCGGTCGGGGGACCTGTGCACCCCAGGCCTGTCGGAGTTAATACTGTTATCTCGAAATCCTTAGCATTTTGGCGGGACACACCTTGGGCTTCTCCCAAATCGACCTGGGATGTGGACCATGCCTCCAGTAGCTGAGATGCCAACACAAATAAAAAAAGAAAAGGGAGAGAGAGAGAGAGAGAGAATAGGAGAGGAGAGGAGAGGAGAGGGAGAGAGAGAGAGAGAGAGAAAGAGAGAGAGAGAGAGAAAGAGAGACTCCCCACGTCGCCTGGCTCAAACCAAGTACAAAAGTGACTATTTACAATGAAGGCGTGGGGAGTGGGTGGGGGCAACGGGGAGGACGGTCGGAGTGAGCGCTCGGCTGGGGAGGCCACGCCCCCTAGGCCCGCCTTTTAAAGGGTGCAAAGCCAAACAGCAAAGGTATATTTCTAGAGGATCCCTGGGCCCCCAGGGGAGGCGGATCCTAAGGGGTGAGGGATGGGGATGGGGGGCATGGGATGGGGAGGCATGGGCGCTGGGAGGAGATGGAGGAAAGGTAGCAACTGCCCCTAGCATCCCCCCTGGCCTCCCTGCCGGACACACAAGTTTTCCGTGGGATGAACACAGAAAGGGTTAATCAAAAGAGTTCGATGAGCGAGTCTGACGGTCGAGTGGGGCGGGCTGGAGCAATGAGGCCGCAGGTTCCAGTGGTGGCCGGTGGTGATGGAGTCACTTAGAAGATGAAAGGTTGGTGGTTTTGGGGAGTGGGAGGAGGGTTGGGGAGAGGGAGGAAGGAGGAGGGTCTCCCTATATTAGTTCTAAGGAGACGAATGTCCTAGACTGGCTGAAAAGGGGTTAAAAACCAACAGTCTTCACCACAACCACCACCACCCTCCACAGAGACCCTCCCTCCCGCCACTCAGCGAGGGGTCTAGGCCTCTGGTGAGAGTAGGGACCCGATGGACTGGACACACCAGCTGGGACATCAAGACCGCGCTGACTGTGGTGGAGAGGGCTCCCGACAGCAAGGCTGGGTGTCCAGACTCCACAGAGCGTAAACCAGGCTTCTCTGCCCCCGACCTGGGTATTACAATTGGTGACAACCAATTCAGCCTTTGACGACGGCCGGCCTCGATTCCGGATGGCGCTTGGGGGCAGATGCATTGGGCACAGAGAAGGCCTGTTTGGCTGTCCTACAAGTGACAGGTGTGCAACCTAGTGAAGCAATCTTGTACGCCTAGATTGCCACCTTCACCGCTGCTCTGGTGAACACTTTTGCAAATTAACCTTTTATCTTGGGCTCGAACAGCAAGAATCCATGCAAAGGGGAACCTCCTCTCCTCTGTCAAACATCTGGAGACCAACCAACCATAAAATAATAAGAATGGCGCGGGTGGGGTGGGTGGCGGGATGTGACGGGACAGAGGACAGACGGACGGGTAGAAGAAACAGAAAGGAGTGGGATTCCAAGGGATTTGGTTGGCTAAGAGTGGAGAAAAAAAATACCGCGGGAAAACAAGTGGTACCGTAATATTCCAAGTATAGGTTCCCAACCATCTGTAAGACGACTCTTGCCAAGCTCCTATAATTTCCACCTACAAGTCCAGTACAGAGATGGCAAAAATCACTGTCTTCCGATCCCTGCCCAGCTAATTATTGCGGCAAAATTTCCTCCTGACTAGGAGAGGGCAAAGATGATGATTGGGCAGGCTGGCTCAGAGCCTTGCCCGAGACAGGATGGAGAAGGTGAATTTGGCACTTTAGAACCCCTCTTGTTATAAGTGCTTTGAGGTCCCTCCCCAACAACCACCCCCTTGGGCCAGCAGAAGAGGATGGGGTCTGTTTCTCCCCCTCCCCAATTTCTATAGACTTGCCCAGAAAGAGGCAAAAGGGGTTTTCCTTGGCTGGTGGAATTTGGGGTAGGAGAATCCAAAAAAGTAGGGGTTAGTTGAAAATGAGTATTTTTTTTTCTTTTTCTTTTTTTCTTATAAAGATTCTAAGAAAAACTCAGGGTGAGAGGAACGAGGAAGGGGACCCAATTTAGCTCAGCATCTGCAGGTGTTCTCTCTGCCTCTTAAGGGGCCTCCTCTAAGAGAGGTATTCTCCTCCCATGCATCGAAGATCCTCCCCCCCCACACCCCAGATCGGCTCAGTTCCAAGGAAGTTTGGCACTTTTTGATTTTAAAGGGGAAATGAAAGTGTTGAGAATTTAGGAGGGGAAGAAAACAGACAGACGAAGATAGAGACAGGACAGAGAACGGTGAGGGGACCACAGGAGGAAAACCCAGTGGGCTATAGGGAGCCAGAGAAATAGAGAAACGCTGGGGGAAGCTGGAGGGACTTGAGGAACAGGCAACACTTATTTACTAAGCACCTACTGGGTGCTGAAGAGTGGGGGTGCAAGGAGGCCGCCCAGATTCTTTGAGATCTGACTGGCTAATGGGTAGAGGAGGAGGCAATGGGTTTTGTTACTATTATTTTCAAAGTAATTCCCATCCCTGGTCCGCATCTGTGTCTGTCTGGACAAACTACAGCACAGGAAGATTGAGGTCAGACTGCAGAAGGGCTTTCAAGGGATAGGGAAGAGGATGGATGGAACTCCCCAGGGTAAAATGGGGGGAAGGTGTGTGGCTCCTCACGCAGCAATATGGTAAGTAGACCTCCTTCCTAAGCTAGCAAACTACCTTTCGGATAGCCTGGGCTGGTGGGGTGAGGGATCCCCAAGAAATTAATAGGGACCGGCATGTCACACAGACACCCGAGAGGATGCTTTTCAGAGCTACGTCTGCGTGAGAGGAGTACAGAACCCAGACTCCAGCCAGCAGGCTCCCAGAAAGCAGGCCATCTAGGGGAAGATGCAAATGAGTTGCAAATGGCCTTTCTGACCCACCCACCCATCCCAGATCTTGCTTCATCCCCACTCCTTCCCCTCCTCATAGGGCCTGAGGGCTTTACAGGGGGGATATTCCAGCTAGATACATTACTACCCACATGCAGGTGGAGCTACTATGAAATACTGTAAGGTCATTTAAGAGGTGGAGGGGAGCAATGGCCCTGTGGGCCGCCCCCACCTCCAATCCCAATAGCCCCTAGCTGTAGAAGATATGTACAAAGTGGTATCAAGAATTGTTTTGGCACTAAAATCTCCATCTGGGCTCAGTGTGGAGATTAGGGGTAGGGGGCAGCAGCGATAAGAGGTGGGGGATGGGGTGTGTATGAGGGAAGTGGGGCCTGCCCTTCACTGAGGAGATGAGGACATGGAAAAAGTCACCCCAGTGCCCAAGCTTTAGCCTCCCATTCCGGTGGAAGGGCTGGGGGAGGGGGAGTCAGTGCGAGGTACCTCGAAGGCTATTGCTTTCTAGGGATTTTTCACATTTTGATTTGGGGGGTGGCTCTCTTGCACAGGGTAGGGGCCTCCCAGGCTTCAGCGGTAGGCATTGTCTGGGTGGCTTTTCTCCTCCGCTCATTTGTAGGGATAGAAATAAGGAGGCCAGTTATCCCCAAAGCCATGGAGGAGAGCAGGGTCTGGAAGACCTAGGAGGGCAGATGGAGGAGGGAGTGGGCATAGGGTACCCCTCCCCCCAGATGCTGATGATGGAGCCAGGGTTCTGAGGACCCTGCTTGGGGTTGGAGGAACTGAAGGTGTTCTCCAACAGGGATGGGGAGATGGGTGGGAACAGGCATGTCTCAGCAATCCTAGCCTATAGGTTTTTCAGGCCCTGACATCTGTCTTTGGAGTTGATCAGAGCCACCATGCAAAGTGAGCCACTCCCAAACAACTCTCAGGGCAGCCTGGCTTGTCACATTTTCATCAGAATCTTCTAGTTCTTCAGAGCCTAAGGTTGAGCACACTGAACATTTTCGACCTAGCAAACACTGCTAACATCTACCAACTCCCTGGAAGCCACCAAGCCAATTGAATTCATCAGACCACTCAAGGCATTTCAGCCCAAGATACCCTAAGCTTTGCAAGGCTCACTTAACTCTACACCAGATCACACTGGCCTGACAGAGCCACCATACATTTGGCTCATCCATCAATGAAATGAAGCCACGTAGACACAGGCATGCACACAAAAGGCAGGAGTGGGAAAGGGAGGGGATCTTTAGCAGTCAGTTTCACTAGCTTCATCTCCCATGCGTGCCTGGCAAGGCAAGTTCAGGGATGGTAAATGTGGATGCAGATGACCCTGACAGTATTTTTTTTCTCTTCAGAATCCTCCACATTAGATCCAAGTTCCATCCTTCAGTCTCTTTCTAGGGATTCCCTTCCCCCAGGGCCAACACCCACTAAAGAGTGTGGAAGGAGGAGGGGGATGAAGGGACTGGCCACTATCCAACTCAGGAAGCGCATGCTTCATCCCGATGATGCCACAGGAAGTGACCTCGAGATTCCATAGGAAGTACATGCCTTTGCCTCTGGCATCACGGAAGTGACCTTTTGGGAAGGGGTTTTGTTGTGACCTCACAGGATGTGATTTTTCTCTCACCAGTACAGGAAGCAGCCTCTGAGGAAATACTTCCTATGACATCATAGGGAGTTACTGGAAGCACCCCATAAATACTTGATTCAGTGACATCACAACAGGGACCCTCGTTTCTCTAGGAAAAGCCACGAGAAGCCACAACGGCTGCTCCTGCGCCTCTCAACACTGCAGCTTACAGAACCTAAGGCATCCCATGGCTGGCATCATTTCCAGCAGGAACACATCTGCTTAAGGAAGAAAGTTCCACTTCCACCCGAGGGAGTACTGCAGGGAGATAGTGGAGCTTCGGAAACGTGGGACTCCTGGGGCGGAGCGGGGCGGGGGGCGCTATGTTCCAAACCCCTCTTTTCAGATCTGACTCCTGGATGGCTGCCTCTACTTGCGTCACTTTCCCAGGATCTGGAACTGCAATCAGAGAGGCAGGATGTTGTGTCTGGGGGAGGCACCTCATTCCAGGTGATCTGGAGGCTCCCTCCCCTCCTCCCATATGTCAACAAAAATCTTATAAAGGAGGGGGGAATCCTTATCAAAAAAAGAAGAAAAAGTTAAAAAGGAAAAAAAAAGGAGGGAAAGAAAGAGAAAATAACGCTTTGTTTTCTATTAAAATCAACAAAATGCAATATATACAGATATCACATAGACCTGGACCCTGGGAGAGGCGGGTCAGGCCCAGTCAAGCACAGGGAGGGAGGGAGGAGGGGTCAGTTCAAGGCTGGAAAGGGGGCTCAAAAGCCCCCTCCCCAGCCGTCACTCAATCCTGCCTATGACTACCAGAACGGAGGGTGCAGCCAGGCCTACCCCAGCCCCATCCCAAGCCAAGCAGGAGTCACACCAAGCTGAAGTCTGGCGGGAGTTGGGAGAGGAGGAGGAGGAGGGAGGAGGAGCGGGAGGGGGTGGGGACGCACACCACAGGCCTCATCCCACTTTCTGTGGGTTTGAGGCCCTCACCCCCTGCTCATAGGTGACCCGCTGGCTGATGAGGTATTGAGCGGCTTGCGTGGCCGCGGGGCTGCCCGTGATGGTGACCCGCCGGTTCCGCGTGCCGGGCAGGAACTCGCCCTTCTTGGAGATCTGGATGCGCGCACCCGTCAGCTCCTGGTACTCCACCAGCGTCTTGCCCCCTTTGCCCAGGATGGCCCCCACCAGGTTCTCGGGCACCGCGATCTCCACCAGCTCCTTGGCGCTCTCGGCCGCCAGCTTCTCGGCCGTCAGGAAGCCGCCGGCAGCCCCGGCCGCAGCCGCGGCGGCCACCAGGGGCGCGCCCCCCGCTCCAGCCGCGCCCCCCGCGCCCGCACCGAGGTAGCCATTGGCGGCCGCGGCCAGCGCGAAGGAGCCCAGCGCTCCAGGGGGCGGTGGCGGCGGCGGTGCTGCCCCCGCTCCCGGCCCCGCCCCGGCGTCGCCCGCGTAGGACGCCAGGAGGTTGGCAGCGGCGGCGGCGGCGGGGTTGGCGCCCGCGGCCACAGCGGCCAGGACGCCCGAGGCGGCGGCCGAGTTGAGGCCAAGGCTGAGCGAGTTGGTGTTGTAGCCGTAGCTGGCCAGCGTGTTGAGCGCCGTGCTGATGGCCAGCAGGTCGGTGCCCGAGAAGGCGGGCAGCGCGGCGGGGAAGGCGCCCACGCCCGCCAACCCTGCGGGGCCAAGCAGACCCGAGGCGGCAGCGGCAGAGGCGGCGGCCGCGGCGGGCAGCACATCTGCTGGGCTGGCGTAGGGCGAGCCGGTGGGGTTGGAGTTGGCCACGGGCCCCGCCACGTTGGCGTAGCTGATGTTGAGGCAGCTGCTGCTCTGCGGGTCTTCCTGTACCTTCTGCACGATGGCGCTCACGGCCTTGTGCACCTGCTCGGGCTCGCCGCTCACGGTCACCACGCGCTCCTGTAGGTTGATGCCCTCGGGCTTCTGCGACAGCTGCACCCAGGCGCCGGATTGTTCCATCACCGCCTTCACGGTCGCTCCCCCCTTACCGATGATCAGTCCCGCCGTGCTGTTGGGGACGATGAGCTTAGCCTGCGTGGAGGAGAAAGAGAGAGTCTGCGCGGGGGAGAACGGGGCGCGCAGCCGTCTCAAATCCATTTTTTTTTTATGTTTTATCTTTCTTCCAGGGTCCATCATCAGGCCCACTGCAGTAACCTGATAAACGTCAGGATAGCCCTACTGGTTCCTAAAGGAAAATTTGGAAATACCCGGCAGGGTGTAGTGCTGCCTGCCTTTAATCGCCGCACTCCAGGGGATGGAGGCAGGAGGATGCTAAGTTTGAAGTCAGCCTGAGCTATATATACATAAGCAAGACCCCATCTCAGGGGAAAACAAACAAACAAAATTCCAGAGTTTAGGAGTCCCCCAGCCACCCTGCCCCACGTCCCTAGGACGGCTAATGTCACCTCTTCCGTGGCAGGTAAAGGTTTATTAATGGTGTAAACATTGGGAGCCCATCTGTGTCTGCCTCAAGCCTGCGCCTCCCCTCTCAACTTCTGTCCTTGTGTGCTCTGGCTCCTAGTCTCCCCCAAAGTTTCAAATCTTTACAAATTTCTCTCCCTTCCTTTCCCCCTCCCATTTCCTCTCCTCTCCCCTCTTCAGCTTAGGCTGGCTTGGAACTCATGATCCTCCTGCCTCATCCTCCCTGTCAATTTCCTCCTTGAACTCTTAGATCACAGTCCATACCTCAAAATCCGACCAGGGCCTCAGAACGTGTTTGTGATTGGAGGCCCAGTTTTGTTGTTTTTTAAAGGTTAGCAAGGTTTTGAATGTCTGTAGTTGTGGCACACCCAGTGTGCCCAGAGGATCAGGAGTTCAAGAACAGCCTGGACTCCATGGTGTGTTCTGGGCTAGCCTGGCCTACGCGGTGAGACTTTCAAAACAAACCCCAAAAACCAAAAGAAGTCTGGGGATCCCTCTGTGACTGTGACTGTATTGCTTTCTGGAGTCTGGGTGTGAACTGTGGTGACATCATCATTTTTTTTCAGTGTGGTCCCACCTGAATATTTACATGTTAAAATTCACCTCACAACAAATTGCTTCCTTTTATTTCTCTTGTATTTAGTTTCTTCCCCATCTTTATTTTGTTTTAAGATAGAGTCATACTGATGTCTTTGGACTTGCTGTGTAGACCAGGCTGGCTTTGAATTCACAGAGATCTGTCTGCTTCTGCCACACCAGTGCTCAACTATACACACCTCTTCTACGGTTTGTTTAATTGTGTGTGTGTGTGGAGGTCAGCGGGCACTCACCCCGCTGTGTTCACCTTTCTATGCAGGTTTCACAGCTAGAGCTCCGGCTGTCAGCCTCGTAGGGCCAGGGCTTTGACTACTGAGCCCTCTACATGGCCTAGTCTTCCGTATTTTAAAAAGTTGCGTGAGAACAACAACGTGAGGTGGATCCATGTACTGGAATAGTACTAGGAATAAATACATACGAAGTACTGACATAGCACTTGCTGTAACATGGATGCTCTTGGAAAACAGTAAGTGAAAAAGGCCAGACGTAAAAGGTCACGTGGTTTCATTTACATGGCTGTCTGGAATATGCAAATCTACACTGACAGAAATTGGTTAGGGAGCTGGAGACTGGTTCAGAGGTTAAGAACACTTGCTGCTCTTTCAGAGGACTGAAGTTTGGCTCCCATCAGGGGGCTCACAACTGCCTATAACTCCAGCCCCAGGGGCTCCAACACCTCTGGTCCCCATAGGCACCTGCATTCATATGCACATATCTGTATGCAGAACACAGACCTATCTATATGTAATCAAAAAATAAAAAAATCTTTTTTTTTCTTTTTGGTTTTTTGAGACAGGGTTTCTCTGTGGTTTTGGAGCCTGTCCTGGAACTAGTTCTTGTAGACCAGGCTGGTCTTGAACTCACAGAGATCCGCCTGCCTCTGCCTCCCGAGTGCTAGGATTAAAGGCGTGCGCCACCACCGCCCGGCTTTAAAAAAATCTTTTTTTGAGACAGGATCTTACTATTTAACTCCGGCTATCTTGGAACTCATTATGTATATCGGGCTGGAATTGAATTCACAGAGATATGCCTGCCTTTGCCTTCTAAGTGCTGGGATTAAAGGTGTGCGCCATCACTGCCAGGTCTAGAACTGAATTTTTGTAGGCGTTATGTCCTGGTATTTATTTTATGATTTTTTTTATTTTTTATTTTTTTGAGACAGGGTTTTTGCATAGTCCTTCCTGGCCTGGAACTCACAGAAATCCGCCTGCCTTGGCCTCCCGAGTGCTGGGATTAAAGGTGTGCACCACTATACCGGTTATGAAAGATATAGTCTTTTGTTTTATGTGTATGAGTGTTTTTGGATCCTATCTCCAGAAGTCGGTAAAGGACAACAGATCCCTAAGAACAGATCCCTAAGAACTATAGACACTTGTTAGATGCCAGGTGGGTGCTAGGAATTGAACCTAGGTCCTCTAGAAGAGAGACGAGCTCTTAATAGCTGAGCCAACTCTCCAGCCCCAAGGACCCAAGTTTGAATCCCCAACACCTATGTTTTTCGAGACATAGCTTTGGTGCCTGTCCTGGAACTTGCTCTGTAGACCAGGCTGGCCTTGAACTCACAGAGATCCACCTGCCTCTGCCTCCCGAGTGCTGGAATTAAAGGCATGCACCACTACTGCCTGGCTTCCCCAGCACCTATTAAAAAGCCAGACATGGTTCTGCTTGCTGCAATTCCAGCACTGGGTGGGCAGTTAGACAGACCCCAAGAGCTTGCTGGCCAGTCATCCTATCCAGTGAGCTTCTAGTTTTGGTAATAGACTCTCAAGGGTTTCCTCAGGCAGAGAGCAATGGAGGAAGACACCCAATTTTCTGCTATGGCCTTTGCTCACATGAAACATAAAAAACCTGGTTAGTGGGTGCCAGAGTTAGGAGACAGGGCTTGGAGTGACAGCTCCATAAATAGTGGAAATATTCTGGAATTTGATGGTGGCTCTGGTTAGCCACATATTCTTCCACTTAAAAAATATATCTATGGGTGTTTTGCTTTTATGTATGTATGTGTATCGTGCTGTGTGCCCTGGTGCCTGCAGAGGCCAGAAGAAGGTATCAGATCTGGACTGGAGTTTACAGATGGCTGTGAACAGCCATGTATGAGTGCTGAGAATCAAACCTAGATCCTCTGTAAGAGCAGCTACTGCTCTTAACTGCTCAGCAATCTCTCCAGCTCCCCAGATTTGTTTTCCTTTTTTTTGTTTTTTTTTTTGTTTTTTGTTTTTTTTTTTTCGAGACAGGGTTTCTCTGTGGCTTTGGAGTCTGTCCTGGAACTAGCTCTGTAGACCAGGCTGGTCTCGAACTCAGAGAGATCCGCCTGTCTCTGCCTCCCGAGTGCTGGGATTAAAGGCGTGCGCCACCATCGCCCGGCCGATTTGTTTTGTTTTTAAGACATGGTTTCATATAGTCCAGGCTGGCCTGGAATTCACTATGTATCTAAGGACAATCTTGGGTTTCTGATCCTCCTGCCTCCACTTCCTGAGTTCTGGGATTGCAGGCTTACGTCACCACACCCTGCTTGATTTTATATTCTATGACTGTATTTCTAGTAGTGTCCAGATCAGGAAAATCTGCAGACACAGAAAGCAGGTTAGTGGAGGTAGGTTAGTGGAGGGAGAAGAAAAAAAAAATAGTTGGGGAGGGGATCAAGGTTTCTTTAGAAAGTTGGTGAGATGGCTCAGTGAATAAAGGCATTTGCCGCCAAGCCTGAGGACCTGAGTTCAGTCCCCGGGACCCACATGGTGGAATGAGAGAGAGAACCAATGATCATAAACACACACACTCTTTTGTCCAATAAATGAGTAAGTGTAGAAATGTGTTTTGAGGGTTTCATTTGGAAGCTAGGCATATTGGCATATGACTGACATTCAAGGACTTCAGTGCTGTGTAGGATCATGAGTTCAAGGGTAGCCTGAGCTATGCAGTGAAACTTCATCTCAAAACAAAGCAAAGCAAAACTAATCAAGTACAAACAAAAACTCAGCAAAATGAAACAAGGGCTGGAGAGATGGCTCGGAGGTTAAGAGCACTGCCTGCTCTTTCAGAGGTCATGAGTTCAATTCTCAGCAACTATATGGTGGCTCACAACCATCTGTAATGTGTTCTGGTTCCTTCTTCTAGCGTGCATTGCAGCCATAAATGGAGGCAGAACACTGTATACATAATAAATAAATAAATCTTAAAAAAAACAAAAACAAAATAACAATAAGACAATTTTAACTGGGCATGATGATTTGGGAGGCAGAGGGAAGTGGATCCGCATGAGTCCAGCCAGCCCGGTCTACATAGTGATTCCCTGTCTTTAAAAAAGAACTTAAAAAAAAAGATTAATTTGGAAGGTGAGAAAGTGTTCTAAAACTGACTGGCGGTAGATGTGTGCTTTGAGCTGCACACTGCCCTGTTTGGTCTGGTAGTGGACATTCAACCCAGGGTTTCACACATGCTAGGCAGGTGCTCTGACACTGTCTGACACTGACCTACACCCCAGCTTTCCTTTTTACACTCTTGACAGAGAGTCTCCCTGAGTTGCCCAATCTACCCTTGAACACCCTCTTTAGACCCTCCTGCCCCCCCTCTCTGTCTCTGTCTGTCTCTGTCTGTCTCTGTCTCTCTCTCTGTCTCTCTCTCTCTGTCTGTCTCTGTCTGTCTGTCTGTCTGTCTCTCTCTCTCCTTCTTTTTCCCTTTAGTCTACTTGACAGGTGCTGGAGTCATCTGGGAAGAGGGAACCTCAGTTGAAAAAAATCCTCTGGCAGACTGTCCTGAAGGCAAGCCTGTGAGACAGTCTTTTGATTAATGATTGATGTGGGAAGTCCAGCCCACTGTGGGTGGTGCCACCCCTGGGCAAGTTAAGTAAGCCATGGGGAGCAAGCCAGTAAATTGTGTTCCTCCATGGTTTCTGCTTTAATTCCTCCTGTCAAATTCATGCCTTGGCTTCCTCTGATGGTGAACTGAAACTTGTATGCCAAATAAACCCTTCCTTCCCCAAACTGTTTTTGGCCAATGTTTTTTAACACAGCAATAGAATCCTGAGTAAAACACAATGAAACTGCTAAGTCATCTAAAATTATATTTTGACCTTCTATAAGGATTTTTTGTTTAATGTGCGTCACAGTGCAAGGGCAGTGATCAGAGGGACTATTTGCAGGAGTCTCATGATCATCCTGGGGAATCCAACTCAGGTGGTCAGACTGGGCAGTGAGAGCCTTTACTGGCTGAGCCATCTTGCCAACCCAAACTGGCCAAATCTAACACATGTTATACAGCTACCATGTATCTCCACGTCAAAAGACTAGAAAGAAAGATTTGAACATTTTTACTGTAAAGAAAGGAAAGGCAGGCATAGTATCCCATATCTGTAATCTTAGCACTCGGGGAGCTGAGGTAGGAGGATAACTGAGAGTTCCAGGCCAGCCTGGGTTATGTAGCGAGCTACAGGCTAGTCCAAGGTACAGAGTGAGACTACCTCAGGACAAAACAGACACAACAAGAGAGAATAGCGGCAAAACTCACACAAAACAAAACAGGCACAAGAAGAGAGAATAGCGGCAAAACTCACACAAAACAAAACAGACACAACAAGAGAGAATAGCGGCAAAACTCACACAAAACAAAACAGGCACAAGAAGACAGAATAGCGGCAAAACTCACACAAGATAAACCCCCACGAAGCTGGCAGCCGCCTTCAGGACGGGATTAGAGCACCACAGAATTTGACATCCGTGGGGTAGACTCACAGAGTCCTGAAATACATACTTGAAGAGGCAAAGCTGGGCCAGTGAGATGGTTCTCTGGGAAATGGCGCTTGCTGCCAAGGCTGAGAAACCTGAGTTAGAGCTCCAAAACCCACATGGGGGGCGGAGAGAGGGAGCAGGAGAGGGGAAGGGGGACAGAGGGAAAGAGGAGGGAGGGAGATGGAGGGAGAGAACAAGAACTGATACCCTCAAATTGTCCCCTGACCTCCACATGTGGTCACAGCATGAACATCGCACACACAATAAATGTGAAAAGAATTTAAAAAGGCAGGTACCAAAAGAAAGGGGGAAAAAAAAGAAAAAGAAAGAAAAAAGGTACCAAATCTCAGAATAACAATATATGCTCAGAAAAAGACTTTTTTAAAAAACGTTTTCTGAGTCAGGGGTCTTGCTACATGAGATCCTCCTGCCTCAGCATCCCAGGTGCTGGGATTACAGATGGTACCCGACGTGCCTAGAATCTTGGAGTCATAGAGCACACACCGTCCTGGAGGTGGGCTGAGAGGCCAGGAGAACTCTTGTTATTTGCCTCTGGGATTTACAAGCTTATGGAAAATTCCAAACAGAACCACCAAGGACAGACAGCCCGGCAGTGGCAGCCAACACTTGCCAGGCATTTTCTGAAAAGTTTTGTATGGCAGCTGAGCCTGGTGGCTTATGCCTGCAAGCCAGCGCTTTCAAAGCTAAGACAGAAAGATCCACCCTGAGTTTGAGGCCACCTCGAGCAACATAGGGATTCCAGGCCAGCCTGGGCTATAGAGTGAGACCTTGTGTCAAAATAAAGTAATAAAAACATAAAAATAATAAACTAAGAATGGGATTAACCTTTGAAAGCAGCTTCCTGAGAATCATAGCTTCTTTTGAGATGTCTGCATGATGTGGAAATGGTTTGTGCTACCCAGGAGAAGAACGGGGGGGGGGGGGGGGAGACTGATCATGGGCATTCTTGTCCCTGTTAAGAGGGTTTGCCCCTCAGAGGGACACAGCCCTCAATGCTTTTTAGTCCCTTCCTGAATCTTGAAAACATTTGCACGTGCAGCCCTGGGTGGATGTAGCTGCTGTGCCATAACAGAAGAGAAACGGAGACCTGCAGAAACAGAGGCAAACACACCTAATGCAGCAAGTCCGAAGTAGCAAAGAAATGGATGGAGGTCCTGATTAAAACACGTCCTGAAACGGGTCAGTGAGGAGGCTCAGTGGGTTAAAGTGCTTGCTTCGCCTGGCCTAACTACTTGAGTGTTATCCCTGGAACCCACGTGGTGGAAAGAGAAACCAACTTCCACAAGATGCCCTCTGACCTACACACACATGCACACCACACACATGCACAAACACACGCACGCACGCAAACGCACGCATGCACACATGCACACATGCATACCACACACACACGCATAAACACACGCACACACGCACGCATGCACACACATGCACACACACACACTCACGCACGCACGCACACGCTGCATGGGAGGAACTGCTGTAACAGGATTGAGACTGTAGATCAGTTGGTAGATTTCATTCTTGGCATGCACAAAGTTTTGGACTGAATTTCTAGCACTATTTAGACAGGATATGGGGGTGCACATCTGTAAGCCCAGCACTTAGGAGGCGGGTGATGGTCGCATTGGCTACCTAGTGAATCTGAGGCCAACCTTAATTTCCAAAAATTGCCCTATGTTCGAAAAAGAAAAAAAAGGTTTTGACTCAGTGAAAACATCAAGGATGGAGTCTGAATCTCCAGCACCTCCTAAAAGGCAGACCGAGGGAGACACCGTAAGGAGTCTGACTCTCCAGCACCTCCTAAAAGGCAGACCAAGGGAGACACCGATGTAACTTCGGCAGCCCCCCACGCATATGCACATGCGTGTGTGCACCTGTACATATGCGAACTAATCCATATACACAAGCACATCACACAATGTGCTAAAAAGCAAAAGGGAAAAAAGCCACGTATGGTGTCTCTGGCCTCTAATCCTAGCACACAGAAGCCTGAGGCAGGTGGATCACTGTGAGTTCAAGGCTAGTGTTGGCTACAGTATGGGTCTTGTCTCAAAACAAAAGCCAGAGCAGCTACCATTTTGTTCTTGAAGGGGGGAGTAGAGTCTTGCTATGTAGCCCAAGATATCCTGAATCTTCCTCCATCTTCCTGCTTCCACCACCTCAATGCCAGAATACAATGGACCACCATGCCCAGTGCATTTTGTTAGAACTTTCTATGCACTAGGCATCCACATAAATGCTTTTCACACACCAATGTGTTAACCACCATTCACAAATCTATACCATGATAAATCTCATTTTACAAATGTGGAAAACCAGGCAAGGAGCAGTCACAATCTTTTCATCTGCTCAGGGTCACAAAACTAGTAGGGAAAAACTGAGGGTGCAACTTAAATGTGACTCCACAGCCTGGGTCTCCAGCCACTCACTCTTTCATTGACGCCTCAGGATGACAAGATAAAGGATAGATCCTGGTTCTGCAATCTTCTGACTGTCCTGTGCAGCTGTAAGGCCTAAATTGTACTGATCCCATTTCCCACGCAACATCCACAAACATTCGATGAATCCCACTCCCTTGTGACCACCACTAAAGCGGAGGAAAGGGGCCATTCCTGTCTCTCTAAGCGGTGTAGAATTCACCCTCTGTTGGGTGTGAAAGCATTTTGGAGAGACCTGGCGGGGCGCTAGGAGCCCGGCGTCTTCAGCACCAAGGACAGCAGCCGTGCGCAAAAAGCCTCAAGCCGGCAACATTTTTTTTTTTTTTTTTTTTTTTTTTTTTTTTTTTTTTTTTGGTGGGCAGAGGTCACTAGGAACGTGTTCCTACAGGGCTCTCCGCCCACTATGTCCCCCAGGATTTGGGAGAATTCAGGTTTATGTCTCTTCAATACCGGAGCTGAAAAATCCCAGTATCTTAAAACAAAGCCTTTGCTTTCTAGATGGACTTGAAGCTCTCGCAGGCGCTCTACTAGCCGGCGTTGGACACTTCTCCTTTGTGTCAAGAGCTCGTGTATACGGGGATGAAGGGAAAACCCGGAGCGCTAGTATCTATCCCTGCGTTCCTCCTCTCACCCCCTCCCCCGACTGGGTCCGGGTCTCAAAAAACAAAAACAAACGAAAAACCCAAGACCGCAAAACAGGAGTTCTATCCTAAAAGCCCACTGGTCCCAGGCGCCATATCGTCATGGCAACTGGAGAGGCTCAGGAAACCATTGGTCCGCTCTCTGCCACACCCCTTACACCACCGCTTCCTGGTAACTAAGGCAACCAAGAGGCTGCCTTCTCGTCTCCATCCTTTCTAGACGAGTGGGTAGGACGGGGACCGGCTCCTCTCTTTCGCTAAGCAAAGCACTACATCCCCATAATGGGTATTAGGGAGGATGAAGATAAAGAGGCTGATTCTAAAATTCTGGAAGGGCTGGGCTGTCACTGAAGTCACTTCCGGTGAACACAGGAAGTAGGAGGCAGGTTGCTTTGAGAGACAAGGGTGGAAAGGAAAGGAGCTGGAGTGTCTCCGGAAGGATGGATGAATGGGAGTGCCAGCCTTGATCTTCAATCCCTCTGAATCCAGCCCACTCCTAGGAGTGGAGAGCCCTTTCTAGACGATTAGAGCTGACTTCCGTGTATTAACCACTAGCAGGCAGGCGTTTGACAGACGTTATCAGATCTTTTACAGAACCCACTGTGCAGGCACCTCACCAGCGTTACAGAAACCCACTGTCATTTCCCAGCTGACCTGCTTGGCTCTGTCGGGGTTCATCGTGGTTTGGGGTTGAAGAATGTTGACCACCTCGGGCTTGGTCATCGCTTGAGGGATTTCTCGGACCTTCTCTGCGATAAAGCTGTGAACGGCATTCAAGGCCTCTGCCGTGCCCTGTACTAGGCATACCCGTTCTGTAGTTCCTGTTTAGCAAGGGACAGAGGGGGACACACACATCAGACAGCAATGGAGACATTCCTGACAGACTGGCCCCATTTCACGGAAAGGGAAAGCCAAAGATTGGGGAGTGAGTCTGGGTCAGTTGATGTGGGTGACTGGTCCATCCATGGTGGGTAGCTAGCTGAGAGAATGAATGGAATCCCTGTTTTATAATCTGTACTTACCTCCCTCCCCTAAAACAACCCTGGGGGGATGGAAGAATGATGCTTAAGTGCCCACAGCAGCCCTGGGCACGGGAGGTAGGGCTCAGCTGCCTCTTCACAGTTCTTGTGGGCTCCCCCTGGTTGCTGTGGCAACCATTCACTCGCCACTCAACCTCCCCCACCCTTCCAGAAGTGGAGAGCTTAGACCCGAAACGGTTGCCACAGTAACTGGAACCCCCTTATCGGTCTGCCTGGCCGGGTCCTCAGCCCACCCCCAGGGGGATGGGATGAGGCTCGGTTGCCATGGCAACCGCTGAAAGCATACAGCGCCTGGCCTCTGGGCTTTTGGAGAGGATGGGGAGAAGGTGGGGGGATGGGAAAGGCAGAAGAGAGGCCAGAGTGCAGCCTAGACCCACCAGATGGAGGTCTGGGGGGTGGGGGAGGGCAGGGGTGTGGCTAGGGGAAGAGCAGGCTAGGTCAAAGGCAGCTCTTAGAGAATGAGAGACTAGGAATAGAGGGTGGGTGGCCGGTTTCCCATTCTGGAGAACCTCCAGGTACTGGCTGCAGGTCTGACCTGGCATTCTCTGTATGTGCATATTGGAAAAGGGGATTAGAGAAGCTGGGTGATGCTGAAATGTAAGCATGGGAGAGAAAGACTCTGGGTTACATTGCGATCTGTGTGTGTACCTGTGAAGCTCCTTGTGGGGAGCTATGTGAGCATCTGTATACTTGGGCAGGGTTGGAAAGATGACCGTATTGGGTGTGTATCTAAGCAAAAGACCAGAGGAGATTGCACTAGAAACATACTGTGTACTGAGGGTATAGTTTAACAGTAGAGCATCTGCCTAGAATCCCCCAGTGAAGGGATGGGGGTGTGACTCAGTGGTAGAGCCCCTGGCTAGAGTCCCCAATAGGGTTGTGGTTGTAACTCAGTCAGGTACTTACCTAGTATGCACAAGGTCCTGGATTAAATCCTCAGCAACGCGCGCGCACACACACACACACACACACCCCAAAACAGGTGATATAGCACGACTGGAGTAACAAGGTTTGGAGCTAGAAGACTTTGGCATGCAAGCCACAGAGGCTGTGCAGTGATGAGCCCTGTCCATTGGCTGTCTGCGTCTGCAATTGTGAAAGCAAGACAAAAAGGCGGTGTACACGCCTCTAGGTGTTCCCAAGCTGTCTGGGTGATGAGCATGTGGTGCAAAAATATCTGTACACACACACACACACACACACACACACACGCACGCCCGTCACCATCCTTTTAATGGCTGTGTGGATATGAGGACACAGGCAGACTTAAGCGACTGTATGAGGCTGTCTGGATGGCAGGTGTACTGGTGTGCCCATCTCCAAGTGGTGTGCGCATCACAGACAAAGAACCCTCGGCCATGCCTGCTCCGTGTGAGAATATGAGTGCGTTGCTGTGCCTGGGCCTCACTAATGTGGTGTGTGAATGTCTCTGTCCTCAGGAGGGACTCGGTTTGTACAGTCAGCTCCCTGGGTCTGTAAAAGGTTTTTGAATGTGTGCCAGGCCCTCTGCCTATGTGTCTGGGACACTTAGTGCTGAGTGTCATTGTCTGTGGATCACTTCAGTGCAGTGTGCTCATTGTCCAAGCTTGACCTGTCCCTTGCTACCTCTCCGCCTGGTTCTTCAAATCCGCCATGTGTCTGGGGTGTCTCTGTCTGCTGGCCAATCGTGATGCCGAAAACCCATACCCTTGCCCTTGTCAACATAGTCCTTGCTTTTATGTCCCCCTCCACCCAAGAACAATAGCTTGGTGTGGGCCAAGGGTGAGTCAGCTGTAGGCTGCCTCTGTCTGGGTGTAAATAGGAAAGGGTGTGGGTTGGGCTGGGAATGAGGGTTGGGGGGGAAGGGAAACCCCAGGGACAGTGTGGGAGAAGTGGCCAGGGTCACCATCTCTGTATGGCTTCCTTCCAACTCAGGAAGTCTGTGTGCATCTACCTCCGTGTAGTTCTTACACTGGGGTTCACAGGAGTTTGGTAAGGGGGACCCTGCTACGTCCTGAAAAAAGTGTCCTATAATAACAGCTGGTGGTTACATAACATTCAGCGCCAGGCCCTGTTCTGAGGACATGCTGCTTGTTCACCTGACATATGAGCCAGGGCATGTCTCGGTTGCCTTGATGTCCTGCTAAGGACACTGAGAGGTAGGTCTCTGGTCTTGTCCCAGATCACCCAGGCGGCACAAAATCATCAGAGCTTGTGTGTGTGCATGATTCAGGGGACAACCTTTGATGTTGGCTGGCTCTCACCTTTCACTGTATTTGAGACGGGGTGTCTTGCTCCCCCCACGTATGTAGTAGGCAGACTAACTCTCCCACAAGCATTTGGAGATTCTCCTGTCTCTGCACTGGGAGGACAGACATACCCTCCTGCACTCTACTTTCCGTGGCTCCTGGGATTTGAACTCAGGTACCCATTTTTGCATGGCCAGGGCTTTGCCAGCTCAGCTGTTTCCCTGGGTCCGTCATCCGGCATTTTGAACACAGTTGTCTGGCTTCAGAGTTCAGAGTGTTTTTCCCTTCAGTTTTGAGGCAATGTCTTTCTTTGTAGTCCAGATTGGCCATGTACCTGCCATCCTCCTGCCTTAGTTTACCAAGTACTGAAGTGACACACATATGCCACTATACCTAGTATAGGTTCTGTGCTCTTAATCCTAATCCAGCCAGTGCTAAATTTGGGATTCTTTGAGTTGTCTTTCGGTTCCAACTTCCCATGTGCTGGAATTACAGATAGACACCACCATGCCTGGTGTGTGTGTGTGTGTGTGTGTGTGTGTGTGTGTGTGCGTGTGTGTCTACGTGTGCGTGCACACATGTGAGAATGAGCAACGGGAAGGCATACACAACAAAAGCTTTGCTCCTATTTTTTATTTGTTTAAAAACACTTAGTGTTTTGTTTAGATCCGTGTGTGTGTGTACTAGAAGAGAGTGCCATATCCTCTGGAACTGGAGTAATAGGTGTGAGTCACCTGATGTGGGTGCTGGGAATTGAACTCAGGTTCTCTGAAAGAACAGCAAGCACTCTTAACTGCTGAGCCATCTCTCTAGCCCTGGAGATTTGCTTTGAATGATTTATTTATTTTTATTATTTATTTATTGTGAATACAGTGTTCTGTCTGCATATATGCCTGCAGGCCATAAGAAGGCACCAGATCTCATTATGGATGCATGTGGTTGCTGGGAATTGAGCTCATGACCTTTGGAAGAGCAGTAAGTACTCTTAACCTCTGAGTTGTCTCTCCAGCACCCCCCTTTTATGTGTACAAGTGCTGGCTTGCATGCGTGTTTGTTCCTGCAGTGCTCATGGAGAGGTCAGCAGAGGGCGTCATATGCCAGAGAATGGGAATTACAGATGGTTGTGAACCACCATGTGGGGTGCTGGGAACTAAACCTGGTTCCTCTGGAAAAACAGCCAATGTTCTTAATCAGTCAGCCATCTCTACAGCTTTGAAGCTTTGCTTTTAATGTTAAGGAAGAATAAGAATGACATCATTTAGTAAACATTTCAGATTTTACACTTTGGGGCTGGGGATGTTGTTCAGTGTTAGAGGACCTGCCTAGCTACCCTGAGGCCCTGGGTTTAATTCTTAGAACTGTAAAAAAATGATAGAAGAAAAAAACTTTAACATTGTACATTTGCAGCCTGGGGTTGGTGGTGCACACTGTTGCCTATAATCCCAGCACTTGGGAGGCAGGGGCAGGTGGATCTCTGTGAGTTCGAGGCCAACCTGGTCTACAGAGTGAGTTTCAGGATAGTGAGGGCTACACAAAGAAACCTTGTCAAAAAAAACAAAAAAAATACACCTTGGTGCAGCTATGTTATAAATCAATAATAATTATGAGGATGGCCACATTTGTGTTTGTGCTTTGCTCCTAGGAGTGGAATCCAGAGATTTTTACAGACACCCCAACTCTGAAGGTGTTTTAGCTTAATAAGGGAAGGGGTGTGCTCAGCAGTCTTTGAGGCCTTGGGTCAGTATTTATTGCCTTCCGGTTCTCCACTTCATCATGAAAGACCCAAAAGGAATGAACTTGAAATTCTGGGCTCCATTACTGAGATAAGGCACCTTTTGTGTGTTCTGACCCCTTCTCTTTGAGGTTAAAGGCTGGGTAGGTTTTAGGTTTAGCTTTGTGACGCAGACAAGTGTGTGTGTGTGTGTGTGTGTGTGTGTGAGAGAGAGAGAGAGAGAGAGAGAGAGAGAGAGAGAGAGAGAGAGAGAGAGAGAACCTTAGTCCCATACTGGCTTTTGTTTTTTGTTATTGGGGATTGAACCCCTGCAGGACCTTGTATATTCTTGGCAAGTGCCTCTTCCACTGAACCACACCCCCAGCCCCTCACTGGGGATTCTAGGCAGGGGCTCTACCACTGAGCCAAACCCCAGCCCCTCACTGGGGGATTTGAGACAGGCTCTTTGACTCTAAGCCATACCCTAATCCTCTTTTTTAAAACTTTTTTTTTTTTTTTGGTTTTTCGAGACAGGGTTTCTCTGTGGCTTTGGAGCCTGTCCTGGAACTAGCTCTGTAGACCAGAGCTGATCTCGAACTCACAAAGATCCGCCTGCCTCTGCCTCCCGAGTGCTGGGATTAAAGGCGTGCGCCACCATTGCCCGGCCTCTTTTTTAAAACGTTGACACAGGATCTTGCTAAGTTACCAGGCCTTAAACCTGTGATCCTCCTATTCCACCCTTCTGAGTAGTTGGAAGCACTGGTTCCACAATGCCATGCCTAACCTAATCTCACACTGCCACACTGTTCTCTCCTGTTTCCTACATGTCGGCCTCATCTTACAGCAGACATCTCTCAGCATTTGTTGTGAGGCCCTTGTGGGGTCCCTTCTGCACTCATCCCTAGCTCACCTGAAGTTGCTATTGCAGGCCCATCTGGCCTCCCCCATCTGGCCTCCCTCGTCTGGGTCAAACACTTCATCTCATTGCCAAGCTCTCTCTGCCCTTCCTAGTCTGGCTCTGGCCACTCTGGGTCATCATCAGCCAGGGTTCTGTCTCCCTGGCTCGAGATCCAAGAGAACAAGAATTCCCTTATTGTTGTGTCCACATGTCTGTCCATCCTGGTCATAGAGGAGGAGAGTGTGTGTTGAATGACTGAATGAAAGGATGTCAGCCAGGAGGTCTCAGGAATGCACCCCGGACTCATGTAGAAATAACAGTTCTGGGTTCTTAAGGACAGAAGCAGGGTGGGGTTGGGAGGTGCTGAAAGTCCTGGATTGTTCAGGTCAGGAGTTGGTGGTCTGTCTATGAGATCAGACAGACGTGGCTCACATGGGCTTGGTCGTGAACAAAGTATGTGGTATCAAGGACTGTCCTATCTTTTGGGGTGTCTCAGCAGTCTGGCCCTGGGGTGAAGGACTGAGTTGGGAGGAGGGAATGTTACCATCTCATAGCACAGAATGTGATGCAGAGGCAAGGAGCCAAATGTCCTCAGCCAGAGATGTCCCAGGCAGAAAGGTCTCACCCACATGGTGTGGGCTAGAAGGGAAAAGAGGAAACTGGGCCAGGATGATGGAGGAAAGGAGGTGGGGCACCTGGGTCACTAGATTTTTCTCTGAACTTTTGGTCAAAGCAGCTTAGTGAGATGGGAGGCAGGGAGGGAAGGGAGGAGGGCAGGGAAAAGAAGAAGATAGAGGAGATGGGGGAAGAAAGAGAAGAGAGCAAGACTGAGAGAAAGAGAGCAAGTACTGATGAAAGGGAGGGATGGGAGAGAGCGGGCATGGGGGAAAAGAGAAGGAGAGGGAGAAGGGGAAATGGAAGGATGGGAGAAGAGGGGTGGATAGAGAGAAAGGGAGGAGGGGAGAGGATAAAAGTGAGGAGAGAGGGAGGGAGGAAGGCGAAGGGGAGGAGAGGTAGAGAACTAGGGAGAGGGAAGGTTGGGAAGAGAAAGGGAGGGAGGGAAGGAGAGAGATGGAGGAAGAAAGGGGGACAGCCAGGGATAAAGAGAGAGAAAGAGAGAGAGAGAGAGAGAGAGAGAGAGAGATCCAGCTCCAGATCCTGTGCTACATCTCTGGCATCTGACCTAAAAAGATGCAAGAGGATTACGGATGAACTAGAACGGGCGGGCAGTGTGTTAGAGCAACTCTATGGACTTCCGGGGATTCCTCGAGGCCAAAGCTCAGGCTCTGCCCTTGGGAGGAAGCAATGGAGGGTGAGAGACCTTGAAGGGTCTTAGAGAGGGCAGAGGGTTGTTCAAACCCGTGTGGTTGTGGGCTGGGGATGTCGCTCAGTGGTAGAGTCAGTGCCTAGTGTACAGGAAGCCTTGGGTGTGATCCCCAGCACTGCACATATTTCACACAATGGCAGCAGAGCCTGCAATCCTAGCACACGGGGTGTGAAAGCACAAAGCACGAGGAACAGAAGTTCAAGGTCATCCTTGGTTATGTGGTGGGCGTGTGTGAGGCCTCAGTGCTTCCTAAGACAAACAAAACAAAACAAAACAAAAACAATATGGATGAGAGAGACTAAGATGGAGTCTAAGGAGAGGCGGGAATGGGCTGGGCTGAAGTCAGTGAAGAAGAGCCACGGGAAGCTGAGGCTCTGTAGGATAGGCACCCAAAGGGTGGCAGAGACAAGAGAACAGAGACAGAAGCCAGAAGCATGAGCCTCACTGAGGGGTGCTGTTAAGTGGGCTCAAATAAAGTTTTGAAGCAGGGTGGGGTGGGTGGTGAGATACTTGGAAGGGAAACAGAGGGAGATGGGGGGACAGAAAAAGATGGCAGACAGAAGGACAGACAGATGGACCAGAGAAGACAGGAGATGGGGATACCCAGACAGATCCCTAGAGACAAGAGCAGAGAGAGGGGCAGAACGAAGCAGAGAGAGACAGAAGGGCATAAAAGATGGGACGGGCAGAAACAGCTGTGTGAGAAGCATCAGGCAGGGCATGGTGGTGGGTGTGTCTGTGATCCCAGCACTGGGCCATAGGGGAAGGACTGGAGGTTACAGGCCAGAATGGGCTACAGGGTGAGACAGTCTCTTTTCAAAATGCCCCAAGAAAACAAACCAGGCACGGCGGGGCACACATCTGTAATCCTAGCACTAGGAGTTCAAGGTCAGTTTTGGCTACATAAGGAAGTTCCAGCACCGTATCAATGGGGGAAAAAAATGAAAGAAAAGAAAAAAAATAAAAAAGTGCCCCCTCTTCAAAACAACTCAGAGGAGACTAAACTGGATGCAAGCTAGGGTAACAAGTCCAAATGGACAGAGGGGTATGAGTAATTCGGATGGCTGCCCCCGCCCAGTACAACGACACCTGCCACCCTCCCTACCCTGGCTGCTCCAACTGACCGGAGGCGGCAGGTGTGTGGGAAGGGACACAACTGCCTGGCATAATGTAAATGAGGTCATGAATATGCAGAAGCTCATTGTCTGGCCCTGCCCCCACCCCCATCTGCTCAGGCCAGGCCCCTTGGGTTGCAGGCAGCTCAGACTTTTTATGGGGAGGAAAGGCAGGCCCCCTCCGTTACTCTAACTATCTCTAACACAACCTTCCTCACACCCAGGGCTCAGGAAAGCGGAGAGGAGAGAGGTCTAGCTCAGGTAACTGGCGTGTCTGGGGCTTACCTGGGTAGAAGTCTTTGGACTTAGATAGCTTGATGGTGGCTCCTGTCTCCTTCTGCAGCTGCACGATAGTCTGGCCACCTTTGCCAATGATGGAGCCGGCTGCGTAGCTGGGGATGAGCACCTTCAGGAAGTACTCGCCTTCCTCTGCAGGGCATACAGGGTGGGAGGAAGGGAGAGAGGGAGGGAGGGAAGGGTCCCATTTTAGGAAGGCACCTCCAGGAAGATCCCAGCATGGGCCCCAGCAAGGAAATCACAATGACCATGACAACAGCCGAAGAAAGACAGCACAGAACCATCTTCACTCGCTCACTCATTCCATCTTTTTTTTTCTTCTTTGCAACCAAGTTTTTCTGTGCAGCCTTGGCAGGTCTGGAACACACTCTGCAGACCAGGCTGGTCTCAAGATCACAGAGATCCGCCTGCATCTGTCTCCCCAGTGCTGAGATTAAAGGTCACCATGCCTGACCCACATTCAATTTAATTTTTTTGAGACAGACTCTCACATAGGCCAGGCTGGTCTCAAATTATGTAGTTGAGGATGGCCTTGAATTCCCCAAGTCTATGTCTCCCAAGTACTGGGATCACAGGAGTTCAGCATGACACCTAATTCAGACGGTGCTGGGGATGGAACTCACGGCCTCACGCCTGCCAGGCGAGCACTCTGTCGACTGAGGCGCGTCCCCAGGACTTATTCCTTCATTCAACAATGGCTGAGCACCTGCTTGTGTAAATACTTGGCACGAGTGTGTGGAAACAGCCATGAAGAAAACAGCAAAAGCTCCCTGCATTTTTTTTTTTTTTTTTGGTTTTTCGAGACAGGGTTTCTCTGTAGCTTTGGAGCCTGTCCTGGAACTAGCTCTTGTAGACCAGGCTGGTCTCGAACTCACAGAGATCCGCCTGCCTCTGCCTCCCGAGTGCTGGGATTAAAGGCGTGCGCCACCACCGCCCGGCCAAGCTCCCTGCATTTTGTGTGCAAATAAGGCCATGAGAATTTGAGTAATCTAAGCTAAAGCTCAGACAATCATGTTCTTCTGGAGAGCAGAGACTCTATGGTTTGTGCAGGATGGGAGGAAGTAGTACGAGCAAAAAGAAGCAGGAAAAGGGGCGGGGAGGATAGAGGAGTGCAAGATCAGAGAGGAAAGCCAGGAAAGGCCTTCCCCCAAATGCATATTCTTAACACTATCACACACTTACTGTTTTAGGGTACTGGGTATTGAATTGAGGGCCTCTTGCAAGTACTTTATTACTAAATCTCACTCCCAGCCCCTCACTGGGGAATTCTAGGCAGGGGCTCTACCACTGAGCTGTGCCCCAGCCCCTCACTGGGGGATTCTAGGTAGGGGTTCTACCACTGAGCTGTGCCCCAGTCCCCTTTAAAATTTTTGGGACAGGGTCTCACCAAGTTGCCTAAGGCTGGTTTTGAACTCACTCTGTAACCTATGCAACCACTCGACTTGGGGATTAACTCTCCTGCCTCAGCTTTGAACTGAGATGACAGTCCTCTGGCCATCAGACCCAGTCTGAGTAGCCATATTTCCTCTTCATTCCTCTGCAGCACCTGCCAAACAATTCCACTGGAAGTACTTCACAAACATCAGTTACTTTGATTCTCACACTGGCCCTGTAAAGAAACCCATTCTTCAGATAAAGAAACGAGGTTAATAAAGAATCATCCCGGAGTCACTGAGCTGGGCAGGGTACAGAGCTGGAATGTGAACTCGGCCTGGCTCTGGAGTCCATGTCCTGGGCTATTATCACTGAGGTACAATAGAAGAGGTGAGCCACACGGCAAAAGGGAAGAACCTGAGAGGATGGTGTGTGAGTCCTTAGGAAAATCAAGGAGGTGATCAAAAAAAAAAAAAAAAAAAAAAAAAAAAAAAAAAAAAAAAAAAAAAACGGTTAGGTGGGAGGGAAGAGGGTGCTGGTGCAGTGGGAAGCTGGTGAGCCACAGTAATGTCTTTGGCTCTTACTCCAAGCGGGATGGGAGGATCAAGGGGGTGTGAACTAATTTGGGATTTGAGAACATTTCTCTGGGGCCAGCAAGATGGCTCAGTGGCAAAAGGAGCTTGCTGCCAAGTTTGATGACTTCAGTTCAATTCCCAGGACACACACTGTGGAAGGAGAGACCTGACTCCTACAAGATGTTCTCTGGTGCGTGTGCATGGTAAATAAATAAGCAAAAACATGATTTTGAGACAGTGTCTCTCTATTACATAGCCTGGAAACCACTGTGTAGACCAGGCTCATAGACATCTAACTGCACCTCTCTCCTAAATTCTGGGATTAAGGCATGTGCCACCATGCCTGCCTTTGGGCTACGGATACAGCAGAGTGCTTTGCCTAGCATGCTTGAAGCCTTAGGCTTAACCCCCAATACCACAGAAATCAAGCGTGGTGGTGCACACACCTATGATCCCAGCACCCGGGAGGCGGAGGCAGGAGGTCAGGGCTCTCCGCGGCTACACAGTGTGTTTGAGGTCAGCCTGTGCTATATGAGACCCCATCTCAAAAACAAGACAAAACAAGAATGTTCCTGTGATGTTGGTGACAGGAGCAGATTGCATGGACAGGGGTGAAGGAGACAGTGTTACCAGAGGTGAGGGACACTGGGCTGACTTAGGGAGCCACGACCAAGGAAATGGACGAGGGCTGGACTGAGGATTCTCACTTCGTACATGGTTGGGGAATGCATACATGTCTGCAGGTGTGTCTGCACGTACGCAGTGACAGGAGGCTAGCACGGGATGCTGTCGTTTTTTGAGAGAGGCCTCATTGGTTTGAAACTCAATCATTGTGTAGGCTAAGTTTACCTTGTACAGACCAGAGAACAACTGTGGGCGTCAGTTCTCTCCTCTCACTGTGGGAAACCCTGAGGACTGAACTAAGGTCATCAGGCTTGACAGCAAGCATCTTTACCTGCTAGGCCATTTTTCCCCCTGTGTAGCCCTGGCTATCCCAATCTCTGTAGACCAGCCTGGTCTTGAACTCAGAGATCCATCTGTCTCTGCCTCCCAAGTGCTGGGATTAATTGGCTCCTGCTAAATCATCTTGCTGACCTCTGGGCATTCATTCTTAGAGACCAATGTCCTTGGTAATGCAGCCATGCATAAAACACCTAGTGATCACATCCTTAAGGCAAATCTCTAACCTAACTCTCAGCTTCTAAACTATAGCCTTTGTAGTGGGAGGCCTTTGGTGACACACCCTGCTATTCAACTTTGCTTCCCATCACCCATGGGCACCAGAGTCACTGTTCTTTTACTTCTTCGAATATTACCTGCTCCTTCCCACCCCAAGGCCTTTGCGGATGTCCTCTGCCTGGCACTTCCTCTCTATCTTGCCATTTGGGGGTTTCACTGCAACACTGTTTATTCTCACAACCTTTCCTGGAACACTGAGAATGGAGAGTCCCCCCCCCCCCACACACACACCTTGCTTCATATACCCAGAACCCTCTGTCACACAGGGCCAACATGAACCACATCAACGGAGCGCACCTCTGTGTCCCTTGCACACAGTAGGCTGGGGATAAAAGTGGGAAAAGAAAGGAAGCCATTCTGCTTCTAAGGCTTAAGAGCCTTACTTGTTCCCCAGGGATTTCAACTTTTTCTTTTAAGTATAGGATGTCTAATTTTACCATCAAACATGAAACCTCAACTGGTAGTATGGTGAGCAAAGCTGCCTCCCAGAGCAGATAAAAGAACTATTATTTGTAGTTGGGAGGTGTGGCTCAGTGGTAGAGCCCCTGCCCAGAATCCCTCAGTGAGGGGCTGGGGTGTGGCTCAGTGGTAGAGCCCCTGCCTAGAATCCCCCAGTGAGGGACTGGGGCATGACTCAGTGGCTCATGGCTCAGAGACATGCCTAGAGTACATCAGTGTGGAGCATCTGCCTACCATGTTCCAGGTCCTGAGTTCCACTCCTAGTGTTGCACAAACTATAGAAAGCTGATCTGGATGGGTAGGTGTTAAATTCTTTCCTCCTCAGCATGGGTCCTTCAGAGTGAGGGTTCTGGGTTCCTACTACGTTTTGTATAGTGGTGTGGGGTACAGTGGCTGGACTTAGCCTTCTAAGCGTAAGGAGGAAGTCAAGAATAAATGGGTTTTATTGAGCCCAAGGCAATCCTCTTAAAATGGCCTAATCAGACCATTAAGCCTATTAGGTAATTAACCCCCCTCCTCAGCCCAGGGAAACTTCTCATCCATCATTGGACCCCTGCTCAATTCACTTTCTTTCTTTTATCTCCCCCCCCTTACTTTTTTTTTGATGCAGCTTAGCCTTGTATCCTAGGCTGGCCTCAAATTCATAATCCTCCTGCCTCAGTCACTCAGGTGCTGCATTGACAGGCTACATCAAGATGACTATCTCTCCTAGGTTCCCTTTGGATGCTCTCAAGTGTCTATCTCTGAAAGCTGGGCTGTCCACACCTCATTCCCTCTGTCCTGGATTCCCTCAAGCTCCAGCTGGGGACTTCCATACAGAGCAGACAGGCAATCCCAAGTGAACTGTGAATTTTGTTATTGAAAGTCTGGATGGCAGCTGGGTGGTGGTGGTGCACGCCTTTAATTCCAGTACTCAGGAGGCAGACACAGGCAGATCTCTGTGAGTTTGAGGCTAGCCTGGTCTACAAAGCGAGTTTCAGGCTAGGCTCCAAAGCTACACAGAATAACCTGACTTTAAAAACAAAACAAACAAACAAACAAAAAACAAAAAGAAAAGAAACGGAAGTCTGTATGGCTTTGGATACTTCATCCCACCTCTTTTCTGGCCTCAGTTTCCAAACAGTAAAATTGGGGACACAGTAGCACTGACTCTCAGGGGACATAATCATGCGCTTAACAATGAACCGGGAAGTAGCTGGAATGTTCTGGGCACACAGCACTTACACACACCATATACCACCTATCATCACTACCCTTTGTTGTCTATGTGTTGTTTTTGAGACTGGCTGTCTGTCCTGAAACTCACTCTGTAAACCAGCTCTCCAACTCCCAGAGATCCTCCTGCCTCAACTTTTCAAGAGCTTGTAGTAAAGTCCTGTTCAGTGCTCAGCACAGAATGGGTGTTCTCTGGGTAGAAAACCAATGCTTGAAGTTGGGGGGTTTTGTTGGGAGGTAGGAGAAAGAGGGGGAACTCTTTCCCTTACC